CCGCCCTGCCCCGGGGGCCGGGCGGCCGCTTCTGGGAGCCTGATCGCCAGGACGGCCTCCGCGCATCGGGCGAGCCTCGCGACGTCCTCGGCAGGCAGCAGATCCTTGGTCCCAGGCGAGGTTGTGCGGCATCGGTCCCGCCGGGCCGAAGTGCAGAGTTGTTTGCAGAGGCCGGCGCCAGTCACTTTTATATAATCCCGCTGCTCGCTGGGTTCGCGAGCGGGAAAAGTGCGGAGTAGGGAATTCTTTTGCTGTGCTGCCTCCTACGCGGAGCCTGCTTTCCACTTCTGAAAGTGCCGGGCCTTGGGAAGTGTTTTTCTTTTCATTCCTTACTGAAGCGTTTACTGCCGCCGTGGTCGCAGTCATAAATTTTGTTACAAACCACAATGACAGGTGCATTGATATGCACCGGGAGAGCTCCAGCTGCTTAATAACCCCGTCCCCTGGCCGCTGTGAGCGCCTTTTATTTATTCGGTATCATATTAGGTATTGATCCCGGGCAGAATTAAGTGCAGTGAGCAAGTATCAGGGCTGGGCTGCTTCAGTGGCGCGGCTGCCCTGCGCGGTCAGGGGAGCAGGCGGTGATCGCTCCAAGGACGCCTACCTTCCTGTTAGAGACGTTTGGTCCCATATTCCCGGCCTGCGGTTGGGCCCTCAAGCTGAGTTGGGCAACTTCCTGGGACCTCGAGGAAGGTCGAGCCTTGGTGCATTGATATGCACCGTGTGAGCTCCAGCTGCTTAATAACCCCGTCCCCTGGCCGCTGTGAGCGCCTTTTATTTATTCGGTATCATATTAGGTATTGATCCCGGGCAGAATTAAGTGCAGTGAGCAAGTATCAGGGCTGGGCTGCTTCAGTGGCGCGGCTGCCCTGCGCGGTCAGGGGAGCAGGCGGTGATCGCTCCAAGGACGCCTACCTTCCTGTTAGAGACGTTTGGTCCCATATTCCCGGCCTGCGGTTGGGCCCTCAAGCTGAGTTGGGCAACTTCCTGGGACCTCGAGGAAGGTCGAGCCTTGGCGCCCCCCATCTAGGAAGGGACCGGGATGGCGCTGGTGGGGTCCCAGCCAATTTGCCGAGCTGGGAGATAGAGGAGAGAGGAGGGAGAGGAAAGACAGCAGGACTTGGGGGGGGGGGTTAGGAATCCTAGCCATGCTCAGTTGCCCCTCCCCCTACGCAGGATCATCTTCACCCCTGGGCATTTGGGTCTTGGAGCCCAAATGAGCAAAGGTACCAAAGGGCGAGAAAAGAAAGCCTTAAAGGGGTGGGGTGGGGGGAGGGAAGGGTGATCGAAAAGATGAGCCACTGAACAGTTGACCATTGTCCAAGTGATTTATGACCCGTTCCTGCTTTTTAGGTTCAAGCAGAGTTCACAAGGAGTAGGGATTTCTGAAAAGAAATAAGCCCTCTTACCAGTTTTGTAACTATATTCTTAGATTTTGTTTTGGGAGAGGTAACTTGTCAGGAGTGCTGTATTTTTGAGCTGCAGCAAAATTCTTCCCAGTGAGGACAGCACCAGCACCGTTGCCCTTGCTTTGGGGGCAATGGACATTAAGGTAGCAGATCATCATTGAAATTCCTTAAGACAATATAAACAGGCAAGAGAACAGACTAGTTACTCAGGAAGCTGCCAGTATTTGTACTTTTGAGGTCTGTACACAGAGCCATTTCTAGAAATGCTACCATAAAAATATCTGTCTACTTACCCCAAAGACCAGGTCAATTTCTAAGCAAGTTATTTTAATGTGACTAGTCCACCTAACAAGATAAACTTGGTCAGCTTGGGAGGCAGGAGAGAGATATTTTGCTTCCACAGTTAAATGACAGAAGCAGCAGCCAGTTCTAGTGGTCTGAGTGCAATGTGCCAATTTAGATATCCAGAGCATTAAGGTTTGAAGCAGGATCCCAGAAAAGTCCTGAAACTTTACCAAACTTAGAGTGCCTGGTCGTTTGGCCTGGGAGGGGGGCGGGAGCAAACTCATACTGATAATAGTCACAGGACAGATATTTCATTGTATATTTGATATTCAGTCATTTTTAACAGAGAATTTTATAGAAAATTTAAAAATTAAGTCCAGATTTGTTACTTAGATATTCTAACTGCATATGTTTAAGGACACTAATAGAAACAATTCCTACAACATACTATCTTAGTAATATAGTACGTCATTGAAAGGGCCTGTTTCTCATCAAGATTAATGGCATGTTCACTTATATTCTAAAACGAAATGGGCTAGGATACTACCAAACAAAGGCTATTTTGCATAATTTAAAAAACTGGGTCAGGCTCTTAGGTAAAATTGGAGGGTGATGAGTGAATAGAGAGTGGTTTGGGTACCTATGGTCAAATCCATTAGGTCACATAAACTGTCTAGATGTGGTTCATTCTGATGACCAGGGTGGATGCCAGGATGAAAACTCTCAGGGAGAGAGTTTCTGGGAAGGAAAGATGCCTGAAAGAGGAGGTCAAGAATTAAGACCAGGGAGCTGACCTATGAGTTTTCTTTATCAAACCGACAAATGTGATTGAATGGTATTAGTTATACTTTAACTCCTTAGGAGCCTTTCAGAGGAAGCAGGGAGTGAGAAGGGAAATCCCTATCAGTAGTCATGGGATACAAAAGAGGTAAAATTTTCTGCTTTTTTCTGTTTTCCTTCTGATTCTGGGTCCATTCATCCTGTCAGGAGAGGTTCCATCATTGGTTGGGCATTGGGTGGAAGTAGGATGAAATAGATGATCCAGAGCAGAGGTCAATAATAATATCTATTTATGCAATAGATCCAGGGTAATAATTATAAAGTTACAATATAAAAAGTTCTCCATTCACCCATGTTCCATGCATTTCAATCCTAAATCCCTTCACCCATTTCCAATGGTATCCATTTAAAAGTAGAGGACAGGGCCAGCCAGTGGTGTAGTGGTGAAGACAGTGAAGACCAATGGAGTCCCCACAGCCAACCGGGAGGTTTAAGTCCTGGACCTTTTGACTTGAAAAACACCAGACAACTGTACATGCGTGCTCAAAATTCTGAAAGGAGAAATGGCAGAGAAAGGATTGCAGAGTGGCCATCTCCCACAGGAGGCACTTTTTCATTTTCCCCATCTGTCTCTGTTGTTCTCCTGTGAGTACACACAATCTCTAGCAGATTTTATTTTTTAAAATAGAAGACAAGGCTGGCAGGTGGCATGGAGGTTGAGGTGCTGGACTCCCACATGGTTGACCACAGTTCAGGTTCTGGACCTGGTGTTTTGCTTTCTCCCTTTCCCTGCCTCTCTCTCTCTCTCTGGTTAAATTGAAAAATGGTAATAATGGGCCGGCAGGTGGCATGGAGATAAGGGTTTTGGACTCCCACATAGCTAACCACGGTTCAACTCCCGGATCTGGCAGCTTACCTTCTCACTTTCTCTCTCTCTCACACTCTGTCTCTCTGTGGTCAAATTAAAATAAATGAATAAATGAATAAAGTTCAATAAAATAATGTTTAAAAAATGTAATAATAAATAAAATTAAGTAAATAATTCTTTTAAAAATAGAAGAAAAAGCAGAGTCTAAAAAACTAGATGAAAGAGAATAAACACTTTATAGTTTATTTTTTTAAAAAGAATTATTTTATTTAACTTTATTTATTTATTTATTTAAATTTGACCAGAGAGACAGAGGGAGAGAGCGAGAGAAAGTGAGAAAGCAAGCCGCCAAGTCTGGGACTCAAACCATGGTTGGCTATGTGAGAGTCCAGTGCCCCTAACCATCATGCCACCTACCAACCCCTTTATAGTTTCAAAATAAGTCTGGCAGTCTTTAAGTCCACTTCTTGATTTTTATCTCCTAGTTTTCAACATCATAGATTTAACAACAGTGACCCTCAGAGCTAACTGGGCCAATTCTTACCCTGTCGTCGAAAAATGGACTAACTGGGTCTTCGTGAAAGATGCTCTGATTGCTCAGGTGGGAAAGATACTTCGTGTGTGTGTATGTGAGCTCTGGCTATTCTGAGTGTGGTACAAAGCTTTCTTTTGCCCATGAAAATCCTGGGATGACTTAATGATGGACAATCCATTTCTTTATTTACTCATTTGACAAGTATTTGTTATACTTACTACATAGCAGGGGCACCGTGCTACATATTAGTAATAGATGAATAAGACACAGTGCCTGCCCACAAGGAGCACATGGTTTACTGGGAGAATAAGCCAGAAAAATATGTGAGGCCATAGTTTCTTTTCCACACAAATTCAAAAGCTAAATTGACAATCTTGGAGAAAGAAAATTGCACCTGGGTGTGAGGGGGAACTCTTTTCCTTACCTTGCCTAGAGTTGAGTTAAAAAGAAGGAATGGTTTCTTTCTTTCTTTCTTTCTTTCTTTCTTTCTTTCTTTCTTTCTTTCTTTCTTTCTTTCTTTCTTTCTTTTTTTGAGAGATTTTTGTTATAGGGCATGTGTGCTGCTGGAGAGACAGAGAAAGGCAGAAAGCATGAAATCACCCCTCTGGGGGAGGGGATGGCCACGCTGCAATCCAGTCTCCTCCATTCTCCTCTTGGGGGATTTTGGGTATGCACATATGTACATCTGGCATAAATTTTAAGCCAACAGATCCAGGGCTCAAATCGTGGTCGACCACGTGGAAGTCCAGCAACATAACCATTATGTCACCTGCTGGTGCCAGGAATGGTCTTTTCTTAAAATTAGGAAAAACTTTTGACTTTTCCAAGGATTCAAATACATTGAACTTCATAAAATCCCAGATTCAGCACCTTATCCATTCCCCCACCATGAAGTGGGTAGGAAAGAGAGATAGTAGGCTAGTCTTTCTATGTTGACTGGTCTTGCCAATGACAGTCCCTCTGGGGCCTCTCACTTTTTTCTCACAGGTCACCTGGAGCCTGGGGGCTGCCCCAGTTCTCTCAGGATTCAGCAGACTTTGGAGGTGGTGGTGAAGGAGACAGTGGTAGTCAATGTTATTTGAACAGGGTCAACAGGCCCTGGAGCTTCCTGAGTGCACGATGCAGAAGGCTGCTTACTATGAAAACCCAGGACTGTTTGGAGGCTACGGCTACAGTAAAGCCACTGAAGCATATGGCTACAGCACCCCTCATCAGCCCTACCCACCCCCTGCTGCTGCCAATTCCCTGGACACTGACTACCCAGGTTCTGCCTGCTCCATCCAGAGCTCTGCACCTCTTCGAGCCCCAGCCCACAAGGGGGCTGAGCTCAATGGCAGTTGCATGAGGCCTGGTACTGGGAACAGCCAGAGTGGGGGTGGTGGCAGCCAACCTCCTGGTCTGAACTCAGAGCAGCAGCCACCACAACCCCCTCCTCCACCACCGACCCTGCCCCCATCCTCACCTACCAATCCTGGAGGTGGAGTGCCTGCTAAGAAGGCCAAGGGTGGACCCAATGCTTCTAGCTCTTCAGCCACCATCAGCAAGCAGATCTTCCCTTGGATGAAAGAGTCTCGACAGAACTCCAAACAGAAGAACAGCTGTGCCACTGCAGGTAGCTTTCTGAGGGACACACCCCTGGACTAAGTTCCCTTCAGAATGACCCTAGGAAGCCCCAATCACCTGGGGACCATAAGACTCAGGGCTGGAAGTATATAGCCTTGGAGGCCACACATCCAAACTCCTGCTGTCCTTCCTTTTTAGTGTCCTTGACTGGGGTCATGCCTGAGATATTCACTTTCATTCCAGGATGGTGGTGCCATTGCTGGAAAGTTCTCAGAGTTCTTTTTTTTTTGGAGAGGTTTTTGCTATAGGGTACATGCGCTCGCTAGAAAGACAGAGAGACAGAAAGTGAGAAATCACCCCCCAGGGGAGATGGCCACACTGCATTCCCTTCTCCTCCATTCTCTTGGGATCTTGGGCATGCATGCACATATGCCCGGCGTGAGTTTAAGCCACTGTGTCCAGGACTCGAACTACGGTTGACTACATGGGAGTTCAGCAACATAGCCATTATGCTAACTGCTGGTCCCTCAGAGTTCTTTTTTTTTTTTCTTTTTTTTTTTTGAGAGGTTTTTGCTACAGGGCACGCTCACCAGACAGACAGAGAGAGACAGAGAGGCAGAAAGCGAGAAATCACCTCCCAGGGGGGATGGTCACGCCACAATCCCTTCTCCTCCATTCTCCTCTTGGGATCTTGGGCATGCATGCACACGCACCCGGCATGAGTTTTAAGCCACCAGGTCCGGGACGCGAACTGACTATGTGGGAGTCCAGCGACATAGCCATTACACTAACTGCTGGTTCCCCCTCAGAGTTCTTAATAGAGAGTTCTCCATGAACTGACTTACCTGTTTTCCTGGGCTGTTGGTCATAGCTCAACTCCGACTTCCACCTAAGAGCCCCTCAAAACTTGAATACAAGTAGTACACTGCCCAAGCCCAGGTGATTAGATAGCCCATATTACATGAATCCCATTCCCTTAAGTTGATAAAAACTAAAGTCTAAGGAGCATGATGTTAAGACCCATTCTAAGTACTTTATAAGGTTTATCTAATTCAATTTTACAAAGTACCCTTGGAGGTAAGTAAGGGGCAACATCCCCATTTTATAGTTAGATCATTAGAGATGATAAACGACTTGCTCAAGAGCACAAAACTGCAAAATGGTAGATTTGAATCCAACATTCTGGCTCCAAGGCCTGTAAGGCATAACCATGACCTTGGTCCACCCCAGCCAGATCCTCCCCACTCTAGCAAACCCTTAAGGGGGGCGTGCATGTCCTAATGAGAGAGGATTTCTGGGAAACAGGAGCAGTGTGGAATTTTTTAGAAGGAGAGATCTTAGAGTTGAGAAGTAAAAGTTCCATCCAGAGTGTGTGGAAGATGGCACGGCCAGAAGATTTGAGGCCTGCTTCTTTTCTCTGTTCAGACTGCTTGGTTCCTGAAATTTTCTGACCTTGTGTTCTCTCATGCAGTTTATTTTCAGATAGATGAACTTGCTCCCAGGTCCAGGGCTAGTCTGAGGCCTGGGATGTGGCTTATTATAAGGTCCTGGTTTGCCTGATGCTCTCTGGGACTGTGGCTCCTAGGAGGAAGTGCCTTTCTGTCTATAAGCTCTCTCCTGCTCCTCCCTCCTCAGCTGCAGACTCAGGCCCTCCCTCCCAGGAGAAATCCATTTGTCTTCCCAGGAAGGGAGTGGACAAGCAGCTCAGAGGTGGCAGGGGTGGTGGAAGCCAGCGTTGCTGCTGCTCCTAGCATGGCAATACTTACAATGCCTCCAGCCTGGCCCTGGGACCCCTAAAACTCCAGGGCAGTACTTTCTGTTTTATCACCACCCTGCCTGCCTTTGGGTGCAGCTGGGCAGGAGTGAGGTGCCAAGATCTCCACCCCCCAACCTTCACTGGGTGGGGAGGGGTTTGCCCAGAAGACAACTCCTGACCAAGATAGGGGTTGTCTTGCAAGGCTGGAGCTGCTCTCTCCACATCCCAGTAGCAAAGGCTAGGAGGAGTGTTCCCAGAAGTCTGGCTCTTCTTTGACAGGAGGAAGTCCTCATCAGCGGCCCCTTATTCTCTCATTAGACTCCTTCATGGCCTTTGGGTCCAGATACAATGATGAGCTAGGCTGGAGGGTAGAGGGTGAGCAGAGTGACTCCGATCTCAAGAGGTACATGGAGGTTTCAGGTGCGACTGATAGGCGTGGGGGGAGGTGAGTGCCCTCTTGAAATCTTACCTCTCAAACAACATTTTCCACCCTAACCAGGCCTGGTGCTGGGGGAGGGGTGAAGAAAAGGGGACTGAGAAGCACCCTTCTCAGGTCCTGAGTCCCGGGTGTCCCCACCCTCTCGCTTAGCGATCCCCCCTCCTTTTCTGCCCAGGAGAGAGCTGCGAGGACAAGAGCCCGCCAGGCCCAGCGTCTAAGCGGGTACGCACGGCGTACACGAGTGCGCAGCTAGTGGAGTTGGAAAAGGAATTCCACTTCAACCGCTACTTGTGCCGGCCGCGCCGCGTGGAGATGGCCAACCTGCTGAATCTTACCGAACGCCAGATCAAGATCTGGTTCCAAAACCGGCGCATGAAGTACAAGAAGGACCAGAAGGCCAAGGGCATCCTGCACTCGCCGGCTGGCCAGTCCCCTGAGCGCAGCCCACCGCTCGGCGGCGCCGCCGGCCCAGCGTCCGCCTGACCGCGCCCCCCCGCGCGGCGGCGCCGCCGGCCACGTGGCCTACTCCGGCCAGCTGCCACCGGTGCCGGGCCTGGCTTACGACGCGCCCTCGCCGCCCGCTTTCGCCAAATCGCAGCCCAATATGTACGGCCTTGCCGCCTACACGGCGCCGCTCAGCAGCTGCCTGCCACAGCAGAAGCGCTATGCGGCGCCGGAGTTCGAGCCCCACCCTATGGCGAGCAACGGCGGCGGCTTTGCCAGCGCCAACCTTCAGGGCAGCCCGGTGTACGTGGGCGGCAACTTCGTCGACTCCATGGCACCTGCATCCGGGCCAGTCTTCAACCTGGGCCACCTCTCGCACCCATCGTCGGCCAGCGTGGACTACAGTTGCGCTGCGCAGATTCCTGGCAACCACCACCACGGACCATGCGACCCTCATCCCACCTACACAGATCTCTCGGCCCACCACTCGTCTCAGGGACGCCTGACGTGGGCGGCAACTTCGTCGACTCCATGGCACCTGCATCCGGGCCAGTCTTCAACCTGGGCCACCTCTCGCACCCATCGTCGGCCAGCGTGGACTACAGTTGCGCTGCGCAGATTCCTGGCAACCACCACCACGGACCATGCGACCCTCATCCCACCTACACAGATCTCTCGGCCCACCACTCGTCTCAGGGACGCCTGCCCGAGGCACCCAAACTGACGCATCTGTAGCGGCCGCCGCTGGCCCCAAAGAGCGGCGCAAATATCT